ACAGTAACAGTAACAGTAACAGTAATAGTAATAGTAGCAGTAATACTTGGAAAAGTATAGTTCCTTTTCTCGTGGTCTGTCCGTGAAATGACCTCATATATAGGAGGTACATATGGGTACGCTTGAAAAATCACAGGCATTAGAACCGAATGACCAGTTAGTTACGCCATTGTTTAGTTTAGGTGAGACAGCTCTGCTCCACGAAACTCCACTCACCTGCAACGCAAACTTCCGATTTGCCTTTCCTTGGTCTATGCTGCGAAGTAACTGGCTGAAAAGGATAGCCGTCTTCGTCCGAAGGGAAGCTGCCTTAGAAGTGTGGACGCTGCCAAGGCCAGGGCTGAGCGAAGGACTCGGACTATTTCGACGTGTGCCAGGGCTTGCAAGATTTGAGGGTTTGCAGACCGGCCGGAGAGCAGAACTCGAGGCGACGAAAAAAAGCCCGACCCAAACTCTGCCACTCTGATCCGGGTTGACCCCTCTCGGTGTCGAGCTGGTGTCGGGGTGACCTAACTGGCCACAAGCTCCGGCGCCTCACAGATTGGGCCGGGCCGGGAGTCGTTTTCATCATCTCTGGGGCTGAGGAAGGCCAAATCAGACTGATGTCTCAGGACTCCAAAGGGTTGACCAAGCTCTTTGAAAAGTCCAACCCTACAGCTAAATGATTCGAGTGTGGTCTCGGGGTACAGTCTACAAGCATTCAGGTTCTCGTATGACGATGACGTGTGAGATGCCATTGCATTGCGGTCGAACGCGACACGAGTGAATCAATATCTCGGTGACACATGATGTCGATTCTGCAGAAGCCTTGCCGGTGCTTGGAAGCAGGAAAGCCCTCAAGCCGAAGTTAGTTGGAGTCTTCACCAGATCCATCAATCAAGGCATTAGTGGAGGAGCTTGGATTGCGAATCCTGGATGTCAAGACCACCTACCGAAGCCTTTGCTGAGATTCCGAACCCTTAAACCTCAGATGTGTAGATTGCTGATAGACCCGAAACTGTAAGCGCGAAAAGCGTGGAACCGAAATTCTCGAACGAGCCGAAGCCCTGCGCAGTAAAGATGCTCCGAAAAGCACGAGACCACGAGCCCCAGGAGGAACCACCCTCCGAAACCTTCAGGAAGCGCTACCAAAAGCATCCCCAAGCTCCAAGCTGCAGTCCACCATAGACCCTAACACAGATTGCCCGGCCCCAGGTAAATATCCGCCCCTGATCGGAGACAGCGATGGTGTGCGCCTGCCGACGAATGGGGAAGTTTGAGGCGTGAGACGGAGGTAAATGATCGATACTACTGTACCATGAATATTCTCAGCATTGTCACTGTTACTGCTGAAATAGACACTACCACTACCACTTTCGCCACTTCTGCTGCTACTATTATTATTATTACTACTACTACTACTACTACTACTACTACTACTACTACTACTAGTCCTCCTCCTCCTCTTCCTCCTGCTGCTGCTGCTGCGACTACCACGGCCATGACTACTGCGACTACTACGGCTACTACGACGACGACGAGTACGACCACAACGACGACGACGACGACGACCACTGCGATCACTGCGACCACTACCGCGACGACTGCGACGACGACTGTAAGTCAGCCGCTACGACTGCGCATATATGATTATGCAACTTATGCCGAAGACTACGACGACAACGATTTCGACTACTGATTACAGCTACGCCTACGACGACACAGAATACTATTGCAATCATTACAACTACGTATAAGGACTTAGTTACCCCTACTACGATGATGTTGACGCCGAAAACCACCACGACCACCACAACGACCACGACGACAATGGTGATTACCACTACTACGGCTGCTGCCGCCGCCACTACTGTTGCTCCTCCTCCTAGCACAACTTGTACCGACAACGACAAACGAGAAAACGAACCCCCAATCCTGAATCCTCAATCCCTAAAGTTTTGAATCCTGGCTTCAATCTCGGTCCCGCAATGGCACATCGACACCCACAAAAACTGCTTCAACATCCCAAATGCCGAATCCCCCACCTTCCAGCTTCTGTGCGACAACTTCCAGTTCCGCATGACTGTATCGGTTACTGCACACACGATCCAAAACGACATCACTGGGCTTCTGAAGAGAGACAATGTGTATATACCCCCACACTCTCCCTTGAACTAAAGATCCAGCTTCAGTTTTGCGCTGCGCAGGAGGCCTTGCCGCATGCAATAGTGGAGACCACATGCGGCCGAAGATGCTCGACTACCTGAGCATCGGTGTTTCACAAGGATCAGGACACACCTGGAGCTCTACGAGTACGACTACCCCCATTACGACTACCATTCCTCTGCAACCAGCATGGCCACTCACTACCCCTGCCACTGCCACTAACACGTCTACCTCTAGTACTACTTGCTACTTACGGCTTGCGACTTGCGACTTTCTATCTCCTCTTCTACTTCTACTTCTACCTTTGCTACTACCACTACCACTACCACTTACCCTACCACTACGACACCACGACACCACGACTCTATGACACCACGACGCTACGACACCATGACACCACGACTATACGACTACGACTACCACTACCACTACCACTGCCTCTGCCACTACCACTACCACTACCAC